GTTCGGAGCCGGGCTGACCCCAGCTCCGGAGTCCCCGGGTGTGGCCCGGGAGAGGGAGGAGATTTTCCCGGGCCGCAGGGAACGCGGAGGAGGGGCTGCCCTCCGCAGGGTAGCGGTTTCCAGTTTGCCAAAACTAATGTCAACCTGGGATTATCTCTTGTCTGATTGCGCCAGGATTTATTCTGGGTCCTGTGTTACCGGTGAAGAAACAGGGTGGGCTGAATCCAGATTTAGTTATGTATTAATGAGCTGTATGGCCTTGGGCCGGAAAAGGACCCAAAATGCCATTTTTTCTCATCTGTGTAATGGAAATAGTGATAGCACTTGCTTCCTGGGTTGTGGGACTCCAGCAGGAGTTAATGCATTGAAAGGGCTTACGCACGGTAAGAGCTCACCAAGTATTAACTGTTCTTGCTGGTTTGGGTTATTGTTGTTTTTGAGTTATTGACATAACTCAAAATCGACATTCTTTTTTTAAATCAGATTTATTGGGGTTGACATACAGGTTTCAGGTGTTCAGCTCAATACAACATCATCTGCACACTGCATCGTGGGCCCATCACCTCTAGCAAAGTTTTCGTCCCCTTTGCCGACCTCCGTGTTCTTGCTGTTACTGTGACACCAACCCAACCTCCTGCTTCTAGTGGGACGTGGCAGAGCAGTTACTGAGCTGTATGATTCTGGCTCCCCATCTCAGCACACTGCATCTCACTCCAATGCACTTCTAATTTTTTCCAGTGTCTACTGCAAGGCACTGCCAGATGCTGAGAAAAATACACACACGCAAAGGACTTGATTCTCACCCTTAAGGAACTTAAGCAGTCTGGTAGGTGAGAAAGTGCAAACTATTGTCATGCAAGGTGGGCTTCAGCCCCCCAGACAGTGTCATAGGAAAGTTACATTAAAAAAGTTTGCTGGATTTTTAGACAGGCATGACATCTAATTAGAAATTTCTACATAGAGTAGGGGCTTTGGAGGTGGGTCTGGAAGGCTAAGTGGATAGAATCAGAGGGAAATGTAGGTCAGCGACCTGGATTAAAGGACTGGGACCCCCATGGCAGCTTCAGAAGCTGGGGTGTGGTGGGGTAGATCATGAGGAACGTTTGATGGGAAACTGCTTGGAGTAGATCTCAATCCTGTTATTGACATACTCAAAATTGACATTCTTTTTTTAAATCGAATTTATTGGGGTTGACATACAGGTTTCAGGTGTCCAGCTCAATAAAACATCATCTGCACACTGCATCGTGGGCCCATCACCTCAAGCAAAGTTTTCGTCCCCTTTGCCGACCTCCGTGTTCTTGCTGTTACTGTGACACCAACCCAACCTCCTGCTTCTAGTGGGACGTGGCAGAGCAGTTACTGAGCTGTATGATTCTGGCTCCCCATCTCAGCACACTGCATCTCACTCCAATGCACTTCTAATTTTTTCCAGTGTCTACTGCAAGGCACTGCCAGATGCTGAGAAAAACACACGCACGCAAAGGACTTGATTCTCACCCTTAAGGAACTTATGCAGTCTGGTAGGTGAGAAAGTGCAAACTATTGTCATGCAAGGTGGGCTTCAGCCCCCCAGACAGTGTCATAGGAAAGTTACATTAAAAAAGTTTGCTGGATTTTTAGACAGGCATGACATCGAATTAGAAATTTCTACATAGAGTAGGGGCTTTGGAGGTGGGTCTGGAAGGCTAAGTGGATAGAATCAGAGGGAAATGTAGGTCAGCGACCTGGATTAAAGGACTGGGACCCCCATGGCAGCTTCAGAAGCTGGGGTGTGGTGGGGTAGATCATGAGGAACGTTTGATGGGAAACTGCTTGGAGTAGATCTCAATCCTGGCGGCACATGAGATCACTGATATCTGATTTAATTGCCCAGGTGGCTCTATTGTGCAGACATTATGGAGAAAACTAACCTAAAACCAGAAACTATAAACTATAAATTCATCTCTCACCCCACTTATAAATATTTAAGTAGGAAGAAACAGCTTAATTATGTTAAGCTTAATTACTACATCTGGTAAAATCGTTTAAAATTAAATAAGGTCATTTGAAAGGACTTAATATAATACATCGTAGGTGCTCAATAAATGTAAATTGATTGTGAATTTCATTTATAGCTTATTTGAGAGTCATACATCTGAGAATCTGTTTTTAAAATTATGGTTTCATACCATACTTTTGCATAATTTTGGGGTGTTCATAGGATTCTCCATAACTCATCTATGGTCTACCCCTCCCTTTACCCTCACTCCCACTCCCAGCTCAGAAGCCTGGCTCTAAAGCATTTATTTTTATTTATTTTATTTTTTAAATATATTTTTATTGATTCCAGAGAGGAAGGGAGAGAGAGAGAGATAGTAACATCAATGATGAGAGAGAATCATTGATTGGCTGCCCTGACCGGAATCGAACCTGGGACCATTCAGTCTGCAGTCTGATGCTCTATCCACTGAGCCAAACCAGCTACGGCTCTAAAGTATTTAGAATGAACTTAGTCTTTTCCTCGCTACTCTGAGGGGGCCCATACAGCGTTGCTCTTGATTCCCACGCAACTTAGAGGGAAACTTCCACACTGTCCAGAGCCCTTGGTTTCCTGCAAATAAAGGAGGAGGATGTCCTCAAATTCCTTGCAGCAGGAACCCACTGAGGTGGCACCAATCTTGACTTCCAAATGGAACAGTGCATCTACTAAAGGAAAAGTGATGACATTTGCATCATAAATCTGAAGAGAACCCGGGAGAAGCTTTTGCTGGCAGCTCATGCCATTGTCACCATTGAAAACCCCACTGCTGTCAGTGTCATATCATCCAGGAACACTGGCCAGTGAGCTCTGCTGAAGCTTGCGGCTGCCATTGGACCCACTCCTATTTCTGGGCACTTCACTCCTGGAACCTTCACTAACCACATCCAAGCAGCCTTTGGAGCCAAGACTTCTGATCCCAGGGCTGACCACCAGCCTCTCACAGAGGCGTCTTACGTTAGCCTGCCCACCATTGCTCTGTGTAACACAGACTGTACTCTGTACTATGTGGACATTGCTACCCTTTGCAACAACCAGCGGGCTAGCTCAGTGGGTCTCATGGTGGATGCTGGCCCGGGAAGTTCTGCGCATGCATGGCACCACCTCCCGTGAACACCCATGGGAGGTCATGCCTGATTTTTACTTCTACAGAGATCCTGAAGAGATTGAAAAGAAGAGCAGGCTGCTGCTGAAAGGCTGTGACCCACGAGAAATTTCAGAGTGAATGGGCTGTTCCAGCTCCCGAGTTCACTGCTGCTCAACCTGAGGTCCCAGACTGGTCTGAAGGCGTGTAGGTGCCCTCTGCCTATTCAGCAGTTTCCTACTGAAGACGAGCGCTCAGCTTGCCACTGAAGGCTGGTCTGCAGCCACCACTGCTCAGGCCACTGAATGGGTAGGAACAACTACTGAATGGTCTTAAGCTGTTCTTCCACAAACTCTTAACAGAATGGAAATAAGGTTGACAGAAAATAAACAGTTTCTTAAAAAAAGTTTGCCTGTGTGCATGTGTGTAAGTGCTTTTAAATATTCTACTGTCATGCTTCCATTACCTAATGTGGAGTGTCCCTTTGCAGGATTAATTCATTAGCAGTGAGAGGAAAAACTGGAGGGAGATAGGAAATGAAGGAACAGAAGCAGCAGAAGAAGAAAGGAGAAACAAAAACTAGTTGTTTTTCAAGGGTTTTGTGATGTACTCTCCTCTCATGACCTTGACGGTCTTTCTCAGCTCCTCCCAGGTCTGAAATCAGTAAGATAAGACTTGTCTCATTACCTTGGTGGTCCTTCTCAGCTCCTCCCAAGGCTGAAAATGTCAGATAAGACCTCTCTCTGCTGGATACACGCAAATGCCCCTTTAACCATGTGACTCAGGTTGTTCTGGGAGAGTAGTATTCAGCTGCAGATTAGGATTGACTGTGTGTTTAAGTGGCAATAATGGAAATTCAGAATTTAAATTTGGAGAGGGTGCTAACACCATCTTTTGTGTTTTTTTTTTCTGTAGATGGCAGGATTTCTATAGTATATCTAGTATGAGTTCCACATCTTGGCCTCTTATCCTACTTCAGCAGTCTCATCTCCACCATCTGGAGAATAAATGGGATATTTGCATGAATTCCAGACTCTGAACTGAAATAGACTGCAGTGTTCATATTCTTTTCTTGTTATTACTAACAGGTACTAACTGACCTCAGATGGAACATGTCATTGTCTTAGATAGGGATGCAGCATAAGCAGAACCATTTTCATATGTTGGAGCAATTATTTTTTGAAACTGGCATTATTTTAAATGAATTTGTCTAAATTTTGTAGTGTCACCTTTTATAATCTGAAAAGCCATGTCCTAACTTAGTTTTATACATTTCAATAAAAAATTTTTTGTTAAGAGGAAGAATATTTGCAAATGCAATTATAGTCCCAATATTTTAATTGACAGAATGGTAAATTTTTGTTGTTTTGATTAAACTATTTTCATAGATTCTCATTCATATTTTTTTACATTTAAATTATCTGAAATTTTGGTACATATTTTAGTTGCTGTGATTAAAAAGCATTGATTCATACTTTAATTGTAGCATATTTGTGTTACCTAAAATAATGATAAATCTTAAACTTGATTTGACAAAATTTGGTATTTCCAAAATTTAATGTTACTTTGCTGCTTCCTTAGTTACCTAATTCTCTTATATAGTATCTGTGCCTATAACATTTCTAGAACAGGGTTTTCTAAACTGTGAGTAATTTTGTCCCTTCAGAATATTTGGCTATGTCCAGATATTTTTGTTTTGTTTTTTAAATATATTTTTATTGATTTCAGAGAGGAAGGGAGAGGGAGAGAGAGATAGAAACATCAATGATGAGAATCATTGATCAGCTGCCTCCTGCACGCCCCCTACTGGGGAGCGGCCCACAACCCGGGCATGTGCCATTGATTGGAATCAAACCCGGGACCCTTCAGTCCTCAGGCCAATGCTGTATCCACTCAGCCAAACCAGTTAGGGTGTCCAGATATTTTTGATTGTTACAACTCTTTTTTTTAATTTTTTTATTGTTACAACTCTTGAGGGAAAGGCATGCTATTGGTATCTAGTTGGTTGAAGCCAGGGTTACTGTTACACATCCTATACAGAGGACAGCATCTCACAACATAGAATTATTTATTCCGACGTCAATAGTGCTGAGGTTGAGAAAACCTGCCTTAGAGATTCCTGTGGATTTAAAAAATTCATTTATTTTTTAAAAGTATATCAAATATACTTTGACTTCTTTTGTGGGCAGGGCATGTTGCTAGGTTTAGTGGACAAGCCAAACTAATTTGGGATTTGTCCTTAAAAAATTTTTTTACATTATGCTTTTCCCCCTAAATTAGTTATATTAACTGATAAAGTCAGCAGTTAGAAGCACCACAGTCATTCTTTTTGGAAAAAAGCTGTTACTATTGCAAAGCTACTAGAATATTAGACATGCCTGTCATTTTTTAGTTTAGCAGAATAGTGAGAATATTGATTAATCCTTTGCACTTCTTTATGGGGAATTTTTTTGTGTATGTGTGTTTGTGTGCTACTAGACTTTTCCAAACTCAGCCTTTCCTGTTCTTAACTGATGTAATTGTCTTTAGCTCCTCAGAAAATTAAATGTCGGCAGAAGACCGAGAAGCCCAGGAGGATGAATTGCTGGCCCTGGCGAGTATTTATGATGGAGATGAATTTAGAAAAGCAGAGTCTGTCCAAGGTGGAGAAACAAGGATCTATTTGGACTTGCCACAAAATTTCAAGATATTTGTGAGCGGTTAGTTAATAATGTTCTCTTAAACTGATTTTTCTAAATAAAGATTATTCTCAATTTCTTAGTGAAACTTAAATTATTTGTTTTTCAATTACAGTCTACATTTAGTATTATTCTATATTAGTTTCAGATGTACAGCAAAGTGGTTAGAATACCATGTACTTTACAGAGTGGTCCCCCCAATGCTTCGAGTACCCAGTTGGTCCCATACATAGTTATTGCTGTTGTTACCTATATTCCCTATGTTGTAATCTACATCTCTGTGACTCTTCTGTAACTATCAATTTATACTGCATAATTCCTTCATCTTTTTCAACCAGCCCCCCTTCCTCTCTCCACTCTGACAACTGTCAGTCTGTCGCTGTATCTATGAGTTTGAAACCTAAATTATTTATCACCTTGTGTGTTTAAGCATCAGTGATAAGTGGTATTATTACAGATTTAGTGCATGTTTCTGTTTTAAGTGAAAATTGAACTGGGAGGTAAACAGTTTTCAATTTGATTTCACCTTTTGACCATTGAATTTAGGATATTATCCTGCATATTCCATGCATTCTAATCTTCTAACTAGCAGTTTATCAGCCACGACTCAAGGGCTATTACATAGAGATAATAAAAGAGGAAATTAAATAATGTATTCGAAAACACTTGGAAGCTTCAAAGTATCATGGTGGTGGTTAATACTATTTGTTTTCCAGAATTATTTAAGCCAGCGGTCACCAACCTTTCAGACCTCATGGACCACCAGTGGTCCGCAGACCACCAGTTGGCGACTGCTGCTCCAAAGGTTTCCTTAAACCAGTGGTCACCAACCTTTTGGACCTCACAGACCACCGGTTGGCGACCGCTGATTTAAACTACTATAAACATGCGACATGTGCTATTACTCTGTGACCCTTTGCTTCAGAAAAACAAAAAACTGCTTTATTTGATACAAACATTTACAGGAGACTTTGGTACACACTTTCTCAAATATTTCTATTATAAAGGCATTGAGAAAAGAAAGTGTGATAATGTAAAATGAAACTTTGATTGTGTTGTGTGCTGTATCTTGTCCTCAAGCCTGAGATCATTATGTTGAAACAAATTGTCCCAACTATGATTCATGGGTAGTTGATACATGCTGATCTAAGTAGGTCATGGCTCTTTGATAGGAATAAACATGCCTTTCTCTAGATTGTGTTTTTAATCATCTACTGTAAAACAATAACAAAAGAAAACATTGTGTATTACTTGCTCTTTACTGTTAGGAATTGTACTCAAAAGTGAATACAAGAGTAAGTTGTGTATCATCATTATAAATTTCATGGTGCTTAGTAGATTTTTCAAGGGCTTACAAGATTTTTTTTTTTAAGGTGGCGGCTAAGAAGTTAAAATTAGGAAATAGAAAGTGCTTTGGGGGAGGGTTTCTATCCCCTCAACAAAAACATTAAGTCTTGAGCACTGCTCAACAGTAATGGACACTCAAGTATTGACCAACTGATCCTTTCTAATCTTTGTTTTTGGTTCAGGCAATTCAAATGAGTGTCTCCAGAATAGTGGCTTTGAATACACCATTTGCTTTCTGCCTCCACTTGTGCTGAACTTTGAACTGCCACCAGATTATCCATCCTCCTCCCCACCTTCATTCACACTTAGTGGCAAATGGCTGTCACCAACTCAGGTTAGACCCGAAACTTAATTTCTCTTATCCATTTTTAGAAACTTAAAAAATCATCTTTAATTGAAGACTACCTTGATCTTGACTTCAATGCATGGAGAACAGATGGCTTTGGATTTTGTAATTTTTTCCCCTTGCCTTCATGAATCGTAATGTTAATGGGTTGAAAATATTTGGTGCTTTAGAAAGGAATGGCAGTATTAAAATTATTAATCATTATGAATTGCAATAGGAGTAATTTCTAATCAAGTATATTGTTTCTTTTCTTTTTTTGCTATTTTCCCATTTACTCTGTATTGTGATGAAACAATAAGTTTCTCCTCATTTTCCTTAGATGTTGGAATCACTCTTTTTTTCTTAGTTTCTTATCCATTCCTTAAAAGAAAGATTCAGTTGTAATTAGGAGGACTAAAATTGATCTATTATAGTTAGAATAAGCACATTTCTTAAATAAACATAAGTGCTTTTATTTTTAAAGCTCTGAATAATAAGAACAAATAATTGTTGACTGGTCTCTCACACCGATATGATTACACACAAATAGAAATGTATATGATTCCTGTAGATAGCTCATGAAGGCTGGAGACCTTATATTATGAACAGTAACTTCCTCTAGATTATATAACCTTTTCTAGTAACAACCTTAACTCGTGATTGAGACATAAAGATGACTTGAAGCTAATATAGAGTGTTCTGAGGTAGATAATGGATCAATAGCAGCTACTTTTCTAGAAGTCATGATGAAGATTGATAGATTGATGTATATTAAGACAAAAGCTGTCAGAGTTATTGACCTTAAGGAACAGCTTGTCAGTTTTGCCTTTTTGATCATGTATTTTTCATTCCCTCTCTTCTCCCTGCCCCAATAGTCTAATCTTTAGATAAGAGTGCTTTTATAAAATTGAGCTTTAAAAACAAAATTAAACTTAAAAAAAGATAATACACATAGAATAAAAAGGAGTATTACCTTACATTCTAATAGCTGTGCCAGAGGCAATACATGCTAGACAGTGAATTATTTGCCCACTTCCCAATATTAAAGGCTATTTGACATTTAGATCACTGACAGTTGACTAAATTATTTAGATATTTATAGTCCCATTTCTCAAGAGAACTCCTGATACTTTATATCCATGCGTGTGTATGCATATGCACACACACACACACACACGTACCACACAGGACAGATTAATAGGGTGTGTGGCTGTAGGTAGTTTCAGATTCAGTCAAATAGAATCTACTTAATGCTAGCTTTGGAGGGTGTAGGAGAGGAGAGTTGTTCATTATTTTATGTTATATAGCTAAAATTACAGTAGGATTTTCTATCAAATAAAAATTTTGTGTATGTAATTGCCATTTAACTCATCTTTTATACTCCTTCTTGGTTCAGTTCTTGTTTGTTGCTGGGCCCTGATTCCTTGGCATTATGAATTTCACCTGTTGATAGGGAAGTTGACACATGGACCTGTCTTTCACTGAATTGGGGTTGGTAAATAGAAGGGAACTAGGCTTAGTTTTCTTGTATTTTCCATTATTCCTCTCCCAATATATATACATGCACAGTCTCTCTTTTTCTCTTTTTCTCTTTCTATCTCCCCTTTCTCACATTTATGTATATCCCTGATGCCTCTTTTGAGAAGGGGCTGGAGAAAAGAGGATGGAAGAGAATGGCTTCTTCATTGGATTTTGCTCAAACAGAACTCAAAGCTTCCCTTTTAGTGTTTACTCCATTTTACAGCTTTCAACAGGTTTCTAAAGTGTGGTTGATCTTATAAGCATATTCATGAAATGTGGAAAATCACTAGTGGTTTAAGTTCATGCCTGTGTAGGGTTGAGTGAGCAGCAAGGAACAGAAAATGTAGTCCTTGTTCACTTATTTAAATTTACAAAATTTATTTGCATCTGGAATACTTAACTTTTTTGTTTGCCTAAAAAGAAAACCTGTTTGTAATTCCTGAGTTCTGCTTACAAATATTTCACATTTCTAGTAGAGAGTCCTCTTATATTTGTCATTCAAATAAAACAGACTACTTCTAAGGTAGAAAAGTCGAAATAGTTTAAACTTTGGTTGCTTACCTTAGAAAGTGTGAATTTTCCCTATGGCAGCCAAACCACATTGCAGGCTTGTAATCATGTCCAGGTTCAATATCAGTCTGTCTGCCCCCATTAACCAGGTTCTGGTATAAGCCCAGATTGCTTAGTTAAAACCAGCTTGTAAATCTGAGTAACAAGGACCCTGAGATTGGATCCTGTTACTGATCTTTTCATGAGTTGACTTTTTGATAGGATTTGGAAGAATTAATTTTAAAACCTTTAAACTGTTCTCTTTCTAACTATTATTGCAGGGTATCTACAGGGCTAAGGCTCGACAGGAATAGAAACAGTTAATTTTAGAACTGGATCTCTTTCTCCTACATGAGGTATAGCAATATTAACACAAAGGACAGTTAATAACAGAGAAAGTCCTCCATTCAGCGGAGCATATGTAAACCTAGTTTTACATGTTGTGCAGTCATACCATCTCTCTTGTTTTCATGGTACTTCCTCTAGCTTCTGACTTTGTCTTCTACTATGGCTCATGTTGCTGAATAATTTAAGAAGTGATCCGATAAGAATGAATATTGGTGCTGTTTTATAGCACAGTTTATCACAGTAGTGGGAAAAAAATCATTTTAGGAAGTGTGAGAGCCTAAGTTTCAAGGGAAATCAGGAGTTGAAAGCATCATGATCTTTCCAAACTCATCTGCATCCTCGTGTGTTTTCTCCTAGCTGTCTGCTCTTTGCAAGCACTTAGACAACTTGTGGGAAGAACACCGTGGCAATGTGGTCCTGTTTGCCTGGATGCAGTTTCTTAAGGAAGAGACCCTAGGGTACCTGAATATTGTCTCTCCTTTCGAGCTCAAGATCGGTTCTCAGAAAAAATTGCAGAGAAGGACGGCTCAAGCCTCTGCCAACACAGAGCTAGATTGTAGAGGAGCAGCTGGATCTGCTGTAGACCAAGAGGAAGTTGTGGATGAGAGAGCCGTGCAGGATGTGGAATCGTTGTCCAGTCTGATCCAGGAAATCTTGGACTTTGATCAAGCTCAGCAGATAAAATGCTTTAATAGTAAATTGTTCCTGTGCAATATCTGTTTCTGTGAGAAGCTGGGTAGTGAATGCATGCACTTCTTGGAGTGCAGACATGTGTACTGCAAAGCCTGTCTGAAGGACTACTTTGAAATCCAGATCAAAGATGGCCAAGTTAAATGCCTCAACTGCCCAGAACCCAAGTGCCCTTCAGTGGCTACTCCTGGTCAGGTAACGTTACCGACAGCTGCATCCTAATTTCATTTCACAAAGGGAGACATCTCAGGAACTTCCTTGCTAGGGCTCATCAGGGCATTCTGACATCTTGGAGCCAGCCCACAAGTTGTTTCACTGTATCCATCAATAATAGTCTGGTCTTGCCTAGCCTGCGTGGCTCAGAGGTTGAGCATCGACCTATGAACCAGAAAGTCAGGGTTTAATCCTGGTCAGGGCACATGCCCAGGTTGTGGGCTCTATCCCTAGTATGGGGCGTGCAGGAAGCAGCAGATCAATGACTTTCTCTCATCATTGATGTTTGTGTCTCTCCCTTCCATTCCTCTCTGAAATCAATACAAATATATTTTTAAAAAATAAAAGGAAGGAGTTTAAAAAAAAGAATGCTATGGCCTTGCCCTGGCCAACGTTACTCAGTGATTGGAGCGTCAGCCTGCACATGTACCTGGGTTGCAGATTCAATCCTTACCCCTGGTCAGGGCACACATGGGAGGCAACCAATTGATGTGTCACTCTCACATTGATGTTTTTCTCTCCTATCTCTCTTTCTCCCCTTCCCTCCTCCCTTCTACCATCTCTAAAACTCAATGGAAAAAAATATCCTCACTCCTCGGGTGAGAATTAAAAGAATGCTATGGTCTTTACCATTTAAGCATACATAAATGCTTTCTTTGCTGGCCTCAGAATGGGCAGTCCTCAGCAGGGATGAATGTTGAAAAGGTGTAAAGTAATTCTGGTGACTTACTTTGTATATTTACTAGAATGCCATCGACCTTGGAGAATCACTGCCTGTCTTTGTGTGAGGTTGGGATCTGAAGGGGTATCCCTTGGAATGGTTAACCGAATCATTAATGGACTGTAACATAAGGACAACTTGCTTGGTGTGATTTTAAAAAATTAAATTTATGAAGGCATAAATGTACCTATTTAAAGTGTACAGTTTGCTTAGTTTTTTTGTTTGTTTTTTTAATGTATTGATTTTTAGAGAGAGGAAGGGAGCGAGAGAGAAACATCAGTTTGTTGTTCCAGTTATTGATGCATTCATTGGTTGATTATTGTATGTACCCTGACCAGAGATCAAACCTGCAACCTGAGCGTATCAGGACAGTGCTCTAACCAACTGAACTACCCGGCCAGGGCCAACCTTAGCGTATCGGGACAGTGCTCTAACCAACTGAACTACCGGCCAGGGCCAGTTTGCTTAGTTTTGACAAATGTGTAGATCCATGTAACCACCATCTCAGTCAAGATACAGACTTGCCATACTTGGTTAGATCTTATTTTTTTTAACATATTTTTATTGATTTCAGAGAGGGAGAAAGTGAGAGGGGGAGAGAGAGAGAAACATCAGTGATGAGAGAGAATCATTGATAGGCTGCCTCCTGCATGCCCCCTACTGGGGATTAAGCCCACAACCTAGGCATGTGCTCTGAACTGGAATCAAACCGTGACCCCTGGTTCATTGGTCAACATTCAACCACAGAGCCACACCAGCTGGGCTTGTTTTGATCTTGAAGTGAGGTAGAGGGGTTTCATTTATGTGCATCTGATTTGCCCCCGCAGCCTAAGTATATCCTCAGGAACAGACTGGTTGGGAAATTGTCAAACCTCTGTGTTTTAAAATATTTTACTCCAGGTCAAAGAGCTAGTAGAAGCAGAGTTATTTGCCCGTTACGATCGGCTGCTTCTCCAGTCCACCTTGGACCTGATGGCAGATGTGGTGTACTGCCCCCGCCCATGCTGCCAGCTGCCTGTGATGCAGGAGCCTGGCTGCACCATGGGCATCTGCTCCAGCTGCAATTTTGCCTTCTGTACCTTATGCAGATTGACCTACCATGGCGTCTCTCCGTGTAAGCTCACGGCAGGTAAGTTGTATCAATGAACTCAGTTCTCTTGTCCCCCATCCCCCCACCAAAAACCCCAAAACTCATCACTTGAGTTTTCCATTTGGAAGTATTTATTCAACAGAAACTTTTGTGTTAGATACTGTCCTCACTTTGGTGGATATATTAGTGATCAAATGCCTTCATGAAACTTACATTCTAATGGAGGAGACAGGCAAACAACATGTAAAAAATATCAGGTGATAGTAAGTGCTAAGGAGGAAAAAAAATAAAGCAGAGATAGGATATTAAATGTTCTGAAGGGGGAGGAGCTTGGGATTTTACTTTGGAAAGCCAAGGGGAAGCCTCACTGGCAAAGTGATTTGAGTAAAGACTTGGAGGAATTAAGGAAACAAGTCATGCAGATATCAGGGGACAACAGTCCAGGGAAGGAATGGCAAGGTCATTTTTATCTGTGAACGTGAAATAATGTCTGTTCTGGCTGGCAGATGCATAGCTGTCACTCTTGTTTCCATGGCACATATGTCTGATCAGTCATCAAGTGTTTTCTCATTGAGGTGAGGGAGGCCTCAGAATCTTCCTGAACACAGCACTTCAGAAAGCCATCCTCTATTGAAGTAGACACAAGATATGTAATCAGTTTGCCATTTCTGATCTAGATAAGGATTGAGAAGGCAGGCCTTTGACATAGATTTAACTGGACTCTCATTTAAATGGACTTAGTCTTTCTCAAACTAACAGGGATGATGATAATAGCTACTTTAGGGTTATTGTAAGGAAGAAATTTATTTGATTGTATTTTTCAAAAGTATTGGTCCTTGCCCAGCTAGTGTGACTTAGTGGCTGAGCGTCGACCTATGAACCAGGAAGTCATAGTTTGATTACCAGTCAGGGCACATGCCCTGGGTGTGCAGGAGGCAGCTGCTCAACGATTCTTTCTCACCATTGATGTTTCTATCTCTCTCCCTCTCCCTTCCTATCTGAAATCAATAAAAATATATTTTAAAAAATAAATAAAAGTATTGGTCCTTGACAGAGTAGGGGAGAAAAACTAGTCCTTCACCATAGATAATTTGAGAACAATGTGCCAGTACATGTAAAAGGCAAAGTGGTAACTAGTTTTATTTATTTACTAGAGGCCTGGTGCACGAATTTCATGCAGGGGTGTGTGTGTGCGGGGGGTGGGGGCGCCCCTCAGCCTGGTCTGCACCCTCTCCAATCCGGGACCCCTCGGAGGATATCCAACTGCCTCTCACAATCCGGGACTGCTGGCTCCTAACTGCTCACCTGCCTGTCTGCCTGATCACCCCTAACCACCTCTGCCTGCTTGCCTGATCACCCCTAACTGTTCTCCTGCTGGCCTGATCACCCCTAACTGCCTCTGCCTCTCCCCGCACCCGGGACCCGGGCTTCCCTCCCTCTGGCTGGCCGCAGGCACCCAGGACCTGGGCCGGCTTTGCCCAGGTTGGCTGCAGCCGTAGGGGACTGTCGGTGGGCGGCTTCGCCTGGGTCGCAACCGCAGGCACCCGGGACCACAGAGCAGGTGGTTTGTCTCTCTCCTGGACCGCAGGCACAGCCAGCCGCTGGCGACCAGGACCATGGGGACCATGGAGACCGTGGGGCAGGCAGCTTGTCCCTCTCCCGGGGTGAAGGCGCAGCCGCAGCCGCTGGCACCTGGGACCATGGGGCGGGTGGCTTGTCCCTCTCCCGGGCTGCAGCCTGGCTGGTCCCCATTCCTCTCTCGCAAGCTCATTTGTGCCTAGCTGGTCCCCATTTTTCTCTCCCCAGTGTTGAGTGTCTGAGCCCTTACGGCGTGAGAGCATGACAACTGTTTGCATATTAGCTCTTTATTATATAGGATTTTTGGTGCCCTTGACCAGAATTGAACCCAGGACCCTTCAGTCCACAGGCCGATGTTCTATCCACTGAGCCAAACCAACTAGGGCAAAGTGGTAATTATTAATGCCGTTATTATTATTATAGTTACTAGTTGGCACTGTTAGAGTGTTATTATCTTTAAGAAAGTACCTTGAGGAGAATGAGTAGGTGCTGCCATTGCCTAGAGCAGAGTCTTGTAGTGGTCCAGTAGATGGGTTGAAGAACTCACCACAGCATAATTATAAGCCATTTATTAGATTTCTGTAACCTTAGCATTGAGAGGCTAAAGTACATTTCACGTGTTTCACAGCATTTGAGGAAAAAATCGAAGGTAGACTTAGGGGCTTCAGTAAAATTTGGCATCTGATTCTCTCTCTCTCTCTCTCTCGCATTTTTATTATTTTTAGAACATTAGACCAATAACCTTTGTCCTTAATATACCTAGGAACACAAAATAATTAACATTGTTGAGAGTCTTTACTTAATCCTGTTGAAAAATTAAGATAATAGGATTATGAACAAAAGCCTTTTGTGTATAAGTAAAGGCTTTGGGAATGGCTGCCTATTCATTTAAGTGATAAATAGAAATCAGATTGAAGAGTATCAAGGGGAAAGGTGTCAGGAGGAACTTTTTAGTAGCTGTGGGTGATAAATTTTATTCACTGACTTTTTTTTAATATACCAAATTAAACTGTCTTTGCCCTTAAGCCAAAGGTGCTTTTGTTTATTTGATAAATCTTGTTATCAAACTAGAGGCCTGGTGCATGGATTTGTGCACTGGTGTTGACCCTTGCCCAGCAGTCCGACATCCTCTGAGGGTTCCCAGAGTGCGAAAGGGCACTCCGCAAAGTTGCTGTCGCTCGGCAGCTCCTGCACTGAGCATCTGCCTCCTGGTGGTCAGAGTGCATCATAGCTACCAGCCAGTCGGCCAGTCAGCCTGTCGGCCTGTCGCTTAGGCTTTTATATGTACAGTGGGGCCTTGACTTACGAGTTTAATTCGTTCCGTGATGGAGCTCGTAACTCAAATTACTCGTATGTCAAATCAAGAAGTGAACGAGTGAGACACGTGATGCTGGGCTGATGTTGTGGCGTTCACTGTGACGTTCGCTGCACCAACTAGCGGTGGGGTATCTGAAGCTGGCTCGTAACCCGAATTTTAGCTCGCAACTCAAAGCAAAAAATCAGCCGAGAGACGGCTCGTATCTCGAAAAACTCGTTAGTCGGGACACTCGTAAGTTAAGGCCCCACTGTATATAGATGGTGAATGATGCTGAGTTAGTGGAAAATCAGTGTCTGTTTCAACCTTTGCGTTTTTAGATAAGTCAGTCCTTAACTGTACACCACTAATTGTACAAACATATCAACAATAAGTCAAAATCAAAAGGAAAAGATAACCTATTATTCTACCACCTTTACCAAATACAACTTTTCTAGTTGGAGGATTCCTTTTTGTTCTTTGTTATTTGTGCATGTCTAACTTTACCTAGTCATAACCTAAATATGCTTTTTTTCTGGATTCTGTAATGAGTATTTTAATTGAGCTGTAGCCATCCTAACTATAAGTTTTTAATAACGATATTATGTCACAAATGACTCTTTCCCACATAATTATTTCCTTGGACATTTAATTTGTTTGCCATTGTTATGTGCATTTCCATGCATATAACTTTACTTTGGATTATGATAAAGTCCCAGAGGTAGCATTATTGAGTAGTCAAAGGTTATAGCCATTTTTAATAGTTTTTAATCAGCATTGCAAAGTTATATAAAAGTTAATTTTCCATTTCACTTTCTAGAGAAATTAATAGACTTACAAAATGAGTACCTGCAAGCAGATGAGGACAATAAAAGATTTCTGGAACAGAGGTATGGTAAGAGGGTGATTCAGAAGGCACTGGAAGAAATGGAAAGTAAAGAGTGGCTAGAAAAGAACTCAAAGAACTGCCCAAATTGTGGGACTCCCATAGAGGTAAACAGACTCACAGGCATGTTACGATCATCTCAAGAAGCCTATTAATTTTATGACCAATTAAAAAAACACATTTGGTATTTATTAAACCCTCTTACTTGGAAGTTGCAAATTAACGACTTAATATTGTCATCTATTTTAAATGTATGTAGATGTCCTTTTTCAAAGTGCTTTCATACAGTGACAATTGTTCTCACATTATATCCCCCCCCTTAAAATTGAATGGGTTATGAGGAAGCCATACTAGAGCCAGAATCAACTCTTAACTCATCTATGTGATTTAAAAAAAATCAAGCCTGACTTCTTCTCAGAACTTTTTATCCTGGAATTGAACACACCTGTTTAACAAGTATATGCTTAAGAAATGGGGACATTTTCCCAAATGTATATAAATCTATTGCTTCTTGACAAAAATCTTAATATGTTTTAAAATCAAAATATATCTTTGTATTTGATTCTACTGTTTCAGTCCATTACAGTAGTCCTCTCGTATCTGTGGGGGATATGTTCCAAGACTCCAATAGATACCTGAGGATGATACTAAACCCTACATATGTACTATGTATTTTTCCAAAACGTACATACATACCCATGATGAAGTTTAATTTATAAATTAGGTACAGTAAGAGATTAACAACAATAACTAATAGAATAATTATAATATACTATAATAAAGTTATGTGAATGTGATCTTTTTCCATCAAAATATATTACTGTACTGTGTTCACTCTTGAGATGATGTGCAGTGATACAAAATGAGGTGAATAATATAGGATTGTGACATAGTTTTAGACTATGGTTACTTGAATATGAGTGCTGTGATATGGAAACAGGCTAATGAGAAGGAAAGATTCACGCCCTGGTTGAGATGGCGCAAGATTTCATCTCACTACTCAGAATGGTGTACAATGTAAAACATATGAATTGTTCATTTCTGAAGTTTTCCATATAATACAGGGTGGGGCAAAAGTAGGTTTACAGTTGTTCATATGGAAAATAATATAATAATTAATGAATAATACAAAAATAAACTGTTTTGCATACTCACAACTATAAACCTACTTTTGCCCCACTCTGTATTTTTGGACCATGGGTTAAGCATGAGTAGCAAAACTGCAGATAAGGGGGTACTACTGTATATCTGAACTGAACCTGGTGGTCATTCCCTAAGTACTCCATTAAGGAAACTGACATTCTTTTTAACCAATTTAACTACTTCTGATGTATCTCAGCCCTATGATAAAGTGGAGGACTTGATACCAAATGTTTTTTAGATTTATGTAAAAAGTTTAAAATCACATATATTAAATCCAAACATTTTAATTAATCTAACTACATTTTCCATGTACAATATAGCGCATTTGGTTTGTATCTAGAGTTTATCAGAAAACTTGCTAAGTATCTAGTTGTAGGAAAGCCTGCTAAATATTTCCTGTTTCACCTGTAATGCAAAAGAGTTGGCATTAACTAGCTATCAATGTGTTACCTACCATAGTGTTCAGCTCTGTATGAGGAAAGGGACTAGGACAGTGGTTCTCAACCTTCTGGCCCTTTAAATACAGTTCCTCATGTTGTGACCCAACCATAAAATTATTTTTGTTGCTACTTCGTAACTGTAATGTTGCTACTGTTATGGATCGTAATGTAAATATCTGATATGCAGGATGGTCTTAGGTGACCCCCGTGAAAGGGTCGTTTGACCGCCAAAGGGGTCGCGACCCACAGGTTGAGAACCGCCAGTAGGAGAATGTTATACTGAATCTTTTTGGCATGTGCATTTCTCTTTTGCTTTTATAGCCTTGATATTTTTCCCTTTCTGTCTTTCCCACCAGAAATTAGATGGATGTAACAAGATGACATGTACTGGTTGTATGCAATATTTCTGCTGAATTTGCATGGGTTCTCTCCACCTAAAGCAAACCCTTATAAACATTTCACTGATCCTGCTTCCCTGTGTTTTAACCGGTATGTACACAGAATTCCCCAGGCTCCGCAGCAGTTTTTGGCCCTTGATTTGCAGACCACAGATCCAGTGTTTGACTTAGTGCTTTGCTTATTAGAGAATTCTCTTACACACTTCCCACATATGTGAATTTTTATTTTTATATTATTTTCTTGAAAATGAGGTGAGTGATGAAAATATGCTACCTGGAAATTTTCTTCTTTTTTGTCCTCCTCAGCTTTTTATAGTAAAAAATTTTAAATAGAAAAGTTGAAAGGATAAGACTGAATAGTAGGATAACGTCCACCAAAATTAATAATTGAGAGTGTTTTGCCATATTCTTTTTTAAAAAATATGTTTTTATTGATTTTTAGAGAGAGGAAGGGAGAGAGAGAGAGAAACTTAGATGTGAGAGTGAAACATCTATTGGCTGCCTCCTGTATACCCCCTTCTGGGGATGGAGCTAGAAACCCAGCATGTGCCCAGACTGGGAATTGAACTGATGACCTTTTGGTTCATGGGTCGATGCTCAACCAATGGACCGCACTGGCTGGACCTGTTCTCTCTCTGTTTTTTAATTAAAACGTTCTAATGTTTGTTCTCTAACTTTTTTGCTGAAGTACTTGACCCTAAGTTGGAGATAGGATGCTTCATCTCTAAATGCTTCCATGTGTATGGCCTAAGAAAATTCTTCTATATAACAATACTTTAAAAAAATTAATGAGACCTGGACGGTGTGGCTCAGTTGGTTGGGTGTCATCCTCTACACTGAAAGATTGCTGGTTCAGTTCCCATTGGGGCACATGCCCAGGTTGTAGGCTTGATCCCCAGCAGGGAGCATCAAGTTTCACTCTCACATCAATGTTTTTCTCCCTCTCCCTTCCTCTCTCTCTAAAAAAATCAATGAAAAGTCTCAAACAGATTAATGACAATGGCATATTATCAGCTAATAAACTTATTAAGAACCTTCCAGTTATCCCTAAAAATATCTTTTAAAGTTGTTTTATTGAAACAGGATCTAATCAAGTGCAGTCATTTTATTTGGTTCTGTCTCTTAAGCCTCTCTTTTTTAAACATCTATTTCTTTTTTTAAAAATATATTTTTATTGATTTCAGAGAGGAAGGAAGAGAGAGAGATAACATAAGGGAAGGAAGACAAGTTGGTAACTATAAAACATACTAAAAATGGAGAGTGCATGGACCATGAAGATAGAATGGAGTGATTAGCACAGGGGTGGGCAAACTTTTTGACTCGAGGGCCACAATGGGTTCTTAAACTGGACCGGAGGGCCGGAACAAAAGCATGGATGGAGTGTTTGTGTGAACTAATATAAATTCAAAGTAAACATCATTACATAAAAGGGTACAGTCTTTTTTTTTTTTTTAGTTTTATTCATTTCAAACGGGCCGGATTCGGCCCTCGGGCCGTAGTTTGCCCACGGCTGGATTAGCATGTAATAAAGTTACAGTGTCTCAAAAGAGTTCAACTTCTAGATTGCTTGATTTCCCCAGTCTTGGCTTATTCCACATATTGTGTGCATTGAGTATCAGTTTTGTGACACTCATCTTCCATTACTTATCCCTGGCCCTAGAGAGTGTGTCTGGATACTAAAAGGGCTATTCTAATAAGCTTTAAGGCAGCTAGCTGTTCAGAGGGACCATATTTTAGTCCTTCTCAGTGGAAGATTAAAGGAGAGGAAAAGATAAAGATGTTATCTGAGGAGTACAGAAAGTATTTTTGAGACAAGGAAATAAATTATTTATAGTTTCTTTCAAGTTTATAACATTATACCTTATTATATGCTTCCAGGTTGTTCTATGCTGTGGATGTTGATGAAGATATTTGGGAAGATGAGATTGAAGAAGACTAGTTCATTCCTACTGCTCAAGACGTGGAAGTGAAATGGTTTGCCCTAATCTTTTGCTGAGTATACAAAGTAACTCAGGATATTTGCAGGATATTTAGGGTTACCATTCATTCACGCTTCCAGTGTAGAAGATGAGGAGAACGAGGTTTACATTTTCATGTGGCACTACTGACTAAGGCACATTCATGCATTTTTCAATGTAACATAATTGAGAAAATTATAAGCCAAAGGTTCAGAAAATGAAAACTAAAGAATATTAAATATTACTATGTTCCCAAAACTGAATAGTTAAAAATTTAAATATTTATTTTCTTCCCCAAGCTTTAGGTAAGGAGAAGGGGTCAAGAGTTCAACTTACAGACCTTTTTATCTCTGAGAAGCATCCCTTTAAACTTCTGAGGGAGTCTCCTTACGGCTGGGGTGGTTAGAAGCCTTATTAAAATTGTACCAAGAGCCTGATCTTACTCCATGTTACATTCCTTCCAACCTAAATTTCTGCTGAGTTCTTTTTGGAGGGAGCCCTTTATAGCTGATTGGATGGCCCAGTGCCATTTTGATCTACTGCTTTTAAGAATAGAAATTTATAATTTAAAAAATATTCTATAATACCACAAATAATGTGGGTCACCTGATACTGCTTTTCAGAATAGAAATTTATAATTTAAAAAATATTCTATAATACCACAAACAATGTGGGTCACAGATATAGCAGGTGGTATATAGTTCACTGATGCTGAGCCAAGTCTGTTATTTAATGACACTGGCTCAGAAGAATTTCAGCGCTGTTCAGCTTTCCTGAGCAGTAGAGCCTAGCTTCACAACAACTTGTCTTTGCCACGTTTCATTCTACATTCTCTCTTTTACCCTCACCCAGCCTTCTGTTGGTAAGGACAATTTTAATATCAACTCCATCAGCTCATATTTTTATTTCTGTTGCTGGAATAAGAGGAAGCCTAATATATTCATTCCCAAGCTGAACAAGCTGAGCTTCCAATTATGTGCTTTTTGAACTCCACACTACTGTAGTTCAGTCCTAACTTTCTAAATTCTTTCTATAGGTCTTCTCTAATGTGCTTTGGGAGTTTGGTTTCCCACCTGTTTTTTGCAACAGCACCTTTTTGGAGGATAATTTTGGCTTGCCTAGATCCCTATTTCAGGGTTTTGTTGGCTTTTTGAAAAATTGTCTTTCCTTTTGGTTTGGTGAGTGGTTTGGTAGCAAAATAAGATTTTTTTGAAAAGGGCAGAATTCAGCTGCAGCTATGAAAATGTTTTTTCCTACCTTGTCACTGAAAATTGGGGAATCATTTTTAACCATTTTATGTGTGTATATCCAAAGAGTCAGCAGTGACTATTTCTGGATTGTCAATGAGGATGCTTAATCTTAAAAATAAAAATAACTTAAAAATTGTCTTATAAGTAGAGCAGAGTTTGATGATACGTGTTGTCGCCAAAGGCTTGTAAAGTCTTATTTTTGAGGCATGAGTTATAAGCCATTTTTAAGATGGTGAAGTTTTGAGTAGAGTACTTTTGTCTCCGATTATAATGAAAATTGGGGTAACCCCCTGAATGCCCTAGAAATAAATTACCTTGTTAAAGGATGGTATATCAAGAAAGTACATGAACAAAGAGTGTTGTACATAACTTAATTTCATGAAGGCCACTTTTACAAGTGGACTGAGATTACCATAAATTGACATGAACCTCATGATTTCTTTTGGTGAGAGTGAGAGAGAGCAGAGGGTCCCTTTGCAGACTGTCAGTTCATCCTGCCCAGAACTAGTTTGAAGAAGCCACATCTCTTGATTTTATGTAAAAGGTTTGGATGTAGAACTGATAAATGAAAATAAGTTACTAAATGACTTTTTAAGTCAAAATAGAGGTTTTGTGACATTTTAAGCTTGTGATTGAACAAATTTAAGAGCCTGCCTTTGTCAGTTGAGATGCATCTTGTCCCACTTATTTTTTTAAGTAATGTTTTTAACTTAAAATAAATATACATCCCTTCCTGTTGAAAAGAATGATGGAGAAAAGACTTGGCAGCCACATTCCCAAACTTATAGTATTAACAGCAAGGTCATTTTTTAGTTATAGAGGGTTCTAGTTTACATTAGACATTAATATACTTACATTTTTGTTGTTAAGAGAATTAATCAGATATGATCATCATAAAGCCATTCATGTGGCTGCCTGCTTTGGAAAGGAATTTAAAAATTTTGGCAGGAATTTTGGAGATCCCACTAAGTAGTAATTTTGCCATAAGCATCACCAGCAGGTGGCAGCAGTTGCCATGTTATAAAAATTCAGTAAATGGTTAAGACTAGTAGCATTTTGTTTTATGTCTGGGATTTTAATTTTCCTCATTGTGTTTCATTATAGTCTGTTACACATTGGTGAGTAAAATGACATCCTAGATAATAAAACCCTAATATGCAAATCGACCCAACAGCAGAACAACTGATTCACTGTTATGTGCACTGACCACCAGGGGGCAGACGCTCAATGCAGGAGCTTCCCGGATGGTCAGTGCGATCCCACAGGGGGAGCGCCGCTCAGCCAGAAGCCCGGCTCACGGCTGGCAAGCGCAGTGGCAGTGGTGGGAGCCTCTCCCGCCTCTGCAGCAGCGCTAAGGAGCAGCTAGCTGAGCAGTAAGGCATAGCGAGCAGGCGGGCAGTAAGGAGTGAGGGGTCCCAGACTACGAGAGGGATCCCGACTGCCAGCTTAGGGATTGGGCCTAAGCCAGTAGTCGGACATCCCCCTAGGGGTCCCGGATTGCGAGAGGGCACAGGCCAGGCTGAGGGACACACACACACACACACACACCCCTGCCCCGAATGAATTTTTGTGCACTAGGCCTCTAGTTTAATAATAGCAGCAAGGCAGGAACAGGAGTATTACCAAATACTGTAAGGCCACTTAAAACTATATTTGAACCAGTTGACATCCAATTGTTATATAGCAGCGGTTCTCAATCTGTGGGTCGCAACCCCTTTGGCGGTTGAATGACCCTTTCACAGGGGTCGCCTAAGACCATCCTGCATATCAGATATTTACATTACGATTCATAACAGTAGCAACATTACAGTTATGAAGTAGCAACGAAAATAATTTTATGGTTGGGTCACAACATGAGGAACTGTATTGAAAGGGCCAGAAGGTTGAGAACCACTATTCTACAGAAAGCCACTGTTCACCTGACAGCAGCAGGCTTTATCCCACTCTGGGCCCTCGCAGCTGCCCTTGGGATTCATGCTGTCCTGTCTCCACCCACACCTTGATCAATCTTGCAGGCGATAAATCTTCCTTCGATTGTCCTCATTTGCGTGCGCCTTTGGTCTCCTTTTGACTGAGACGGGTGCACCACGGGATGGCTGTCTGGGATGCGGGGGGAGGACACCGGTGGGGGACGATCCAGTTCCTAAAATACGGCGTTCCCCTTAGGAGACATTGTCAAGCATCCCGAGCTGCTCTCGGGAAAACAAACGAGGTGGCAGGGCGTGGGGTTGTTGGAGAGGCGCCTGGCGCGCCCGCTCTCTGCACAGCTGTCCTGGCTGTCAGACAAGGTGGCGTCCTCTATGGAAGTTTACACACTGTCACTTAGATGAGAAAAACTGATCCCCAGGGAATCGGCAGCAATCAGTGAGTCATCGCAGATGCCACTACGGGGCGAGACAGCGGTGGGCCCTGGCTGGCCCAAAGCCTCTTCTCCTTTCCTTTGGGGACGTCAGGTAGTGTTGGGAATGTGCTGAATTGTGAGTAGCAAAAATTACTAGTTGCACACTTAATCATTGTGAATACTGATCGAGCGCTGCATGCCAGGCACCGTGTGGTGCCCTCCCTCGAAGATCTCTTTGATAAATGACATTTGAGCAGAGATCTGAGGAAGTACGGGGGTAAGCCATTCTGGAGGGGAATAGTGGGCCAGGCTCTTGTATCCATCTCTACTTTGTAAACGACAAATTTAATAGAAGAGATGACACATTTGTGTGAACATGCTGCCACTTATAACTTGAAACACATTCTACCCACTCTTCCTGAAATATAGCTCTCCAAGTATACTTAATCTTTTTCCTTTCTGAGTATCAGACTTGGGGTTTCAGACTCGACTCTTTCTACTTAGCTATATTAAATATTTATTGATCAAATTGTCACAACCTGGCCTTGGAAGGCCCATTTAACAGGCTGCTTCATCCTCTCAATACTGCCTCATTTTTTATTTATTTTAAATATTTTTATTCATTTTACAGAGAGTAAGGAAGAGGGATGGAAAGATAGAAACACCTATGAGAGAGAAACATTGATCAGCTGCCTGCAACCTGGGCATGTTCCCTGACCCAAATCAACTTCTTGGTTCATAGGTCCATGCTCAACCACGGAGCCATCCTGGCAGGGCTACTGCCTCATTTTTGAAAGCACCTTTGTTTTATGGCAATAAGACATTCCAGGCCCACTGTGATCCCTGCCCAAAACATGTGATTAGCTCCTGTCCAAGAAGCCCTGTGTATATCAGAGGCCCAGGCTGGCCCAGAATCCACATAAGAACTGGTTGAAGCAGGATGACACTGCTGTTGAACCACAAGGAAACACAGGCCTGGGAAAGACAGATTTATTTTTTTTAAATATATTTTTATTGATTTCAGAGAGGAAGGAAGAGAGAGAGAGAGAAACATCAATAATGAGAGAATCATTGATTTGCTGCCTCCTGCACACTCCCCACGGGGGATTCTAGCCCGTAACCTGGGCATGTGCCCTGACTGGGAATCAGACTGTGACCTCCTGGTTCATAGGTCAATGCTCAACCACGCCAGTCGGGCAAGACAGATCTTTTTAAGGTCCTGAGTTCACACAGACATCTCCAGTTTGGCTGTTGTCACTAAATCCTTTTTCGTTTCATTCTAATATATTTTTTCTATAACATACCTTCTTAAAAATTAATCCCACCCAGCATATAAATTATATGTCAATATAACTGATAAAAAATTAAACCCTTCTTCCAACTTCTACTTGTACTTCAGTTATATTGACCTAAGATATGCCATTATATTGATTTTTAACTTTAAAAACAAACAAACAAAACTAAACAACCTATTTTCCATACCATGCAGTTTTTATTTTTATATCCTCCTGGTCACAGATCTGCCTTATTGTTTTTAACAGCTATATCCTTGTTTGGATCCCAAGTACAGTTAGAACATGAACAATTTATTGCTCAACTTTTCATTCCTACCATTTTTCACACAGGTGCTTTTCAACTCACTTTTATGACATACTTTCTTTTCCGCCAGTAAATGAAAAAGATCAGCAGTTGCTATGATTGTGACTTCCTGCAGAGCTGTTGTGAGGAGTGAGTATAAAGCTTTGTTCACCAGCTATTCCCAAAATATATATGAACCCAGGCCATCTTCTAACCTTTGGGAGAGTGGGGATGGTGGAAGTTCATAAATGACAAATTTGAAAACATTGGATTTAATAGAAAATATAACATTGTAAACAAGCCTATTGATCTATCAACTTAAAACAGAATGACAGCACAATCACGTATCAAAAGACAAAATGCTGGTACCAAACAGCACTTAGAGGCTTGAGCTGGCTTTTAAAGATCATGAGAAACAGGCGGCAGCAGCTTGAAACAGGCACAAAGGTGGGGGCGAGGAGGTGTAAGAGGGTAAAAGGAAGACAGCAATAGACTCATCTTGTGAGCAGGGGTAAAGGATAAAGGGACAAAGGGGTTCTATTTCCTGATGTTCTAGAAACATCAGAGCACACAACATGAACCCGAGAGATGAGAGGGGCAGTTAGGTGGGGAAAGGCAGCCTTAGAAGCATTTGTATATTGTCTTGGCACTCAGCTCCTAGGGAAGCAGGAGAGCATGTCACTCGTGTTGTGACTAAACTCACCATTGAGCTGCTTGTCCAGCCCCTAGCACCTTGACTGAACACATTGAAACCGTGCCAGCGTCTGTTGCCCCAGTGGACCTTCTGCTTATTAATGAGTATGTAAAAGGGGGTGCCCCAGGGAGGCCTTGGAACAAAAACACGGGGCTCTGGTGGGAAAAGGGTTTCTGCCTTTCTCGCCTTCCTCAGGTGCTGGAGGGTCCCTGAGGAGAGGAGTTTGACGTTGCTGAGCCTCTCAAGGCACTGAGCTTATCAGCAAAGCCTTCTCTTTAGCCCTCTCCTCCTAAGTCCTCCCCCAAGGAGTCCTCAGGGTTTATGGAAAGGCCAACTGAGAGAGAGAGAGAGAGAGAGAGAGAAAGGGAAAGAAAAAGTCCTCCCCCAAGGAGTCCTCAGGGTTCATGGAAAGGCCAACTGAGAGAGAGTGAGAGAGAGAGAGAGAGAGAGAGAGAGAAAGGGAAAGAAAGAGGAAAGAAAGTAAGGGGCAGTTTTCTCTCCATGGCACTTGTTACTGACCAGAGGGACTGCCTCCTTATGCTGACTTTAGCCATTGAGAGTTTGTCCCTTCACCTGGAGCACTGATTCTCAAATAGGGGCAGCCGGCTCAAGGGGGCTCTGAAGCCTCTCCAAAGAGGGTTTGTCCAATACCACAAGCCTGTTTCCCCAGCCGAGAATCTGCACATAATGATAGAGATTCCTAACAGGAGTGTGTTGTACGTGTGAACAGTGTCAGGCAGAACACAAAGCCGAAACCCCCTAATCTGTGTAGAGCAGACATCAAAATATGGAGTGATTTTTTTTTCTGATTAATAAGTTACAGACAAGTCATTTCTCCTATAGCTAAACTCCATGAATAGGCTCCACACTGCAGAGCCAAGAACAGTTACGTTCTACCATTTATCCAGAGTAATCGTACTGGATGAAAAAAACACAATTCTGTCCCCAAGACAATTTCCAGAAAGACCTGCCTGTCCCGGTGAGGTACCTGGCACTAGGATTAGCACAGGTTAATCACTGTATGGTTTCTTAGAAGACTGGCTTTTCTCTGTTTCTTTCTCTTTGATACTGTACAAGGGGTCCACCAACTTGTTATGAACAAGCATTAAACCTACAAAAAAAATTAAAAAACAAAGTAGTTAATGGAGGTAGAGGCAGAGTTCCACAACTGTCAACAGTAATACAGGAGCTCTCAAATTTTGTCCTAGAACTGATAACATTCATGCTTTCTGTGTGGCTCCAAATAATAAACACTCTAAGAATAGGAAAGAAATTGTTATTTCCAATAAATGCTGGAATCCACAGGACTTTTGTAAACCCAATCTCCAGGAGAGTTGGCCATTAAAAATCTTTTCAGCAAAGAACAAATTCCTAATTTGCTCAGTAAAAGGATTTTCATACAAGTTTGCTTAAAGCATTGTGTCCTTTTAAAGTAAAAGAACAAGAGCCTCAAGACAGTTCAGTGCCTTTTCTACAGGGAAAGGCCTGTGTGAGAGCAGGGAAGACAGATAGCCTGAGGCTCAGTAGTCCTGCAGAGATCATCACATAGGCCTGGACTACAACTTTTCATTCTCTCCTCCTCCTCCGAGCAAACCAGTCTCCAGAAATGGACCCTCACAGTTATGGATGGAAGAGAAATGACTGTGTATTCTGAAACAGCGTTTGATTTTTATTAAAATCAGATTTGATTAAAATGTCCAGAGCATGAAAGCTAGGCATATCCTGAACTTGGCCACCTACTCCCAAGCCTACCCCTCCCTCACCTTTGAAATACTTCACGGTCTTCACTTTCAGCTCCAGGGTGGCATCCTCATCGCACACAAACACGGTGCGGGGATGCTGCTGGAAGGCAGACACGGTCCACATATGGTTCACTCCCTCCTCAATGGCTTTGTACAGAGCAAATGCCTTGTGAGCACCTGTGATGAGGATCATCACCTGGGGATCAGAGAACAAGCCCATGACAGAGGAGAAGCAGCGAAACCTGAAGTCCAGGCGCCTGAACTCTAGTGTGGCCGCCCCAAACTGCTGTAAGGACTACTGTTCTATATACCATCGCAAGTCTTTAGCATGCAGCACACTGCTCCGGGCTCCCCCTACGTTATCACACAAGTTGCCTGAGTAGGGAGCATCATTACTCCTTGTCCTGTAAGGAAATGGGCTGGGGTTGGGGCCAAGGTTAAGTGACTTGCGCCAGGTCATTTCTGACCCTAAGTGTATGTTCTTGACCACCACTCCACAGTGTCTTCTGGCACCTTTGATGGTGGCTGCAAGTGCCCTGTGAACAGACGTGCCCTACAAAGGCCCACACTTATCCCAACAGTTTTGATACTGGGTTCTAGGAGGTCCTAGGTTTTGTGAGTTTTCACAGTCACAAAAAGATGAGTCCCAATCTCTCAGGGGGCCTTGGAAACAATGCTGAGAGTCCTCTGTATGGTGAGGTCACAGCTGCCACTTAATCTGGTCACTTTTAGTTCCAAATATTAGACCTACTAATGTGACTTGGGGTAATGCATTTTGTTTAAATCAGTGGTTCTCAACCTTCCTAATGCCGCGACCCTTTAATACAGTTCCTCATGTTGTGGTGACCCCCAACCATAAAATTATTTTTGTTGCTACTTCATAACTGTAATTTTGCTATTGTTATGAATTGTCATGTAAATATCTGATATGCAGGATGTATTTTCATTGTTACAAATTGAACATAATTAAAGCATAGTGATTAATCACAAAAACAATATGTAATTATATATGTGTTTTCCGATGGTCTTAGGCGACCCCTGTGAAAGGGTCGTTCGACCCCCAGAGGGGTTGCGACCCACAGGTTGAGAACCGCTGGTTTAAATGAAACAAAGGCACAGACTCCCTTCAACAGCTGAAATACCAAGAAAGCAAGTAGTGGACAGTGATCATAAAGAACTCAGCTCTGTGGATTTCCTTTGTAATTCACTTGCACCATGGAATTGTGAACAGGATTTACGGTTCCTTTCTTTTTTCTTTTTAAATATGTTTTTGATTTTAGAGAGGAAGGAAGAGAGAGAAATATGGATGTGAGAGAGAAACATTGATCAGCTGCTTCCCGGGGACTGAACCTGAGACCTGGGCATGTACCCTGACCAGGAATAGAACCAGCAACCTTTTGGTACAGAGGATAATGCTCAACCAACTGAGCCACACCAGCCAGGGCTACTATTCCCTAAAAGGTGAGAAAACAGAGGCATAGAGGAAATATGGCTCTTTGTTCAGAATTCCAGATCTAATTTTAGAAGAGAGAATTTCCTGATATCCAGCCCAGGCTCTTTCTCAGATTAGCATTCACTAACACGACAGGGAGGTTTGCAAGCCACAAGGCCAAGTACAGCAGAGTGACCCTAGGTACTGACTTGAAGCTACCCACAAGAATTCTGGCGCCATTGCACCTTTCACAAGAGTTCACTTTGGACTTAGATGTTTGTTTACAGACCTAGGCAAAGAAGCTTAAAGTTAAAATGTCTGTGTCTGCTTCCCACTAAATATAATCCAGGAAGAAAAAATGCTTCTAAAATTCTAATGAAAGACAGTAGGAAATTAGAGCCACAAAAAAAAAAAAATTGTTACCCAACTTTCTAGGAAAAAAACTTACTAAATTCAGTTTAGGACACTTATGTTTCCCACATTTATGAATCCCCAAACTCAGGGCTGTAACCACCAACATCCTGGACCTATAGGAGCTCCCTTCAAATACTGACCCCCAACTGCAGGGAACCAGAGGGTCCATCTTGGTACCTGGGCAGGTGCAAATTCATACTCAGACAGCAGTACTGCTGGGCTCCTCTGCCTGTGAGCAGCTCGAAAGGGGTACATACACAGGCCAGGGAGCCTGCCGTCTCCTGGGCAGTCCTCACACTGGGAACAATGGCTCCCTCCAAAGAGGAAGGAGGAACACTGACAGGGTCAGTTGGGATTTTATCCTCATAATGTATTCATTTTTAATACAAATGTATCTAGGTGGTACCTGTAGAGTTAAATTTTTGAAACAAGCCCAGTCCAATCCCCAGTGAAGGCCTGTGGACCCCTTGCACCCTTACCTCTCTGGCATTCATGACAGTGCCCACACCCACCGTCAGGGCCATGGTGGGCACCTTGGCGAGGTCTCCATCGAAGAACCTAGCATTGGCCAGGATGGTGTCCATGGCCAGCGTCTTCACACGAGTCCTGGATACCAGACTGGAGCCCGGCTCATTGAAGGCAATGTGTCCGTCGGGGCCGATGCCTGCCCAGGGGAGAATCAGGGCAGCCTATCAGTGCCAGGGCCTCAGATTGCAGGGGTGGACGCTCTCTCCTCCTCCATCCGGGGTCTACAAAACTTGAAAACCATGTCCCTTTTCTCCTGGGCAGGTCCCTAAGCATGTGATCTTTTCCTCTCCATCTCCCACCCTTTTCTTTCTAGGGCGCACACCGCCATTGTTAACTGCTACCATCCTCAGAAAGCTAGGAAACGGGGACTCCAAATAGCTTCCTCCTCCCAGGTCATTGAACTGTAACCTCTCTTTCTCTCTCTCTCCTGCTAATAGTCAGGGGTCCTGCTACCAGGGGAGTCACAGTGAATAAAACACACACAGGGCCTGGACAGGGGCTGCCAACTTTATACAATCTCAGAATATGAGCGCTCCTGGCCTCTTCCTCCCCATCTTGAATAGAGTTAAATCCAGAGCAGTAAAAGGCAGTCCAACTTCACACCCCTGTGGGTGACTCTGGAGCTGGCAACACATGGAAATGTAAGAGGGCAGCCCAGGGTAAGAACAAAGGCACAAATCTGAGATGAAGACACCCTTGGTGCCTGCCTTGTCTCCACCACTCTGGCCAGCTAACCTTGGGCAAATCACGAAACTTCCCTGGAGTTCACTTGGCTGTCTACAGCGTGCAGGGGCTGAGTGAGGAACCTTCTGGGACTACATGTGATTTTACCTGTTTAGCTAAGTCCCATGACTGAGCTATAAAACTTTGGGCAACAAAATCTCAGAGCCCAAATTCAAACCCTCAATCTACTGACAAGGCATTGACGTGCAGAAAGAGAAGACATCCAATGTCACACAGCTGCTGAGCAGCAGAACCAGGGCAGGGAGCTAGGGGTCCCACTCTGCCTTCCCTGCCTCCTCAGAGTCATGAGTGGCTCCTACAGTCACTAGCAGAGAAGAAGCTGTTTGAGACCGCATGTGTCTAACTGTGCTGGGTCTGGCCTAGCCACCTGGGCACTGTCAAGCTCACCTCCAACAAACAGCTCAATCCCGCCTGCAGCCTGGATCTTCTCTTCAAAGGCGTCACACTCAGCCTGCAGGTCAGCTGCATTCCCGTCCAGAATGTGGGTGTTTTCCGGGTGGATGTCAATGTGCTTGAAGAAGTTGTTCCACATAAAGGAGTGGTAACTCTCTGGGTGCTCTCGAGGAAGACCTGTGGGGCCACGGCCACACTCAGGCATGCCCAGGCGCAGCCAGAGCCTTCCTCTCGGGGAGGAGGCCAGGATATGCCCAGGCCCCCAGAGATGCTCTCAGGGAAATGCCAGCCAGGGAACCCTGAGCACCAGCCCTCCGACCCTCCCCCCCCTCAGGATAAGCTGAGCTGATGTCTCTGTCTACCCACCACCTCCACCTATGACTACAGGATTGGGCCAGAGTAGCTACACCCCAGAGGCCTGAGGAATCCCTCATTTTGATCTCCTTTTCACAGGAGAAGAACCTTAGGCTGGAGGCCAGAGTTAATCTGGGCTTCTGGAGGTGGCTTAGGTACCTGGGGGTGAAGCTCTGCCTATCTGGGAAAGGAAGCATGCACACCCCTCACCCTGTGCCTAACCCCACCACTCCCCTCGTTATACCCTGCTCAGCCTGAACCCCCACTTGACTACCAGGTGGTTAGGGAGAATTATCTCAGGGCTTCCCAAAAGGTTCTTTTCAGTCAAGAAGAAAAAGCATGTTTCAAGTGAATATTTAATGCTTAATGTTAAACATCAAGAATGTTTACAGTGAGCCTTAAAAAGGAAGGAAATTCTGACACATGCTACAACATGGTGAACCTCAACAACATGATGTTAAATGAAGTAAGCCAGTCACAAAAAGACAAAATACTGTATGATTCATTATATGAGGTACCTAGAGTAGTCAAATTCATAGAGAAAGTAAAATGGTGATTGCCGGGGGCTGCGGGAGTGGGAAATGGGGAGTTGGTGTTTAATGGGTATAGAGTTTCAGTTTTGCAAATGGTCGGGCGTTGTGGAGATTGGTCGCACAACAGTATGACTGTGCTTAACACTACTGAACACATAAAAATGGCTAAGATGGTACATTTTATGTTATGTGTATTTTGCTACAATTTAAAAAAAATGTTTAAAGTGAAACCATTACAAAATTATAGGGGGGGGGGGGGTGGTCGGGCATGGAAGGAGGTGACAGACCAAGGTGCTGTAGCTTTTCAGTAGTGGAAAAGACACCAGTCTCATCTCCCCTCCCAGTGTACCTGGCAGCAAGGGGCGCTAGAGGATGAACACTGGAGAGAAAGTCCAGACAGACACGGGGACACCCCCAGCCATGATCCCATTTCCAGTCATTTGTTCTGAAAAGAAAGGGCATGGAGTTGGGGAGGAGGCAAAGGAGAAAATACTAGAATATTTACTAAGTGCTTGCTCTAAATAAGAGGCTTCCACATCTGTGTTATCATTTAATGCTTACAACGTATGAGGTCAGTTTTATTGGCCCCATTTTATAGCTGAGTAAACCAAGGCCTGGAAGAGATAGGTATCAGTAACTGAGCCTAGCACCAAATGTCACTGGTTTCCTGACACTGAATTCCTCTCCAGCCTGCGAGGGGGAGGAGTTCGGACTCTCCTAGAATCAGATAAGGACTGAAAGGGAGAGACTCACCCACATACTCGTCCATGTTGAAGGTCTTCACATATTTGAAGGACAGGTCTCCATTCTTATAGTACTCAATTAGCTTCTTGTAGCAGCCAAGTGGGGTGCTCCCTACAAGAGAGGGCACAGCCATGAACACCCTTCAGCCCCTCACCCCCACCCCTGGAAGCCCAGAGGGCACCCGGGAATGAGTCAGGGCTGCTTCGAACAAGTCAGATCTGAAGTCCTACCCAAATGTTGCATGTCATGCTTGTTTACTGCCTAGTTCCCCACTAGACTGTAAGCCCCAGAGAGGCAGAGCTGTGTCTGTTTTGTCCATTGCTAAATCCTCAGCGTGCAGCTCACTGATGACTGAAATGACTGTGATTAGTACTTGAGTGAACATCAGACTTAATTACTAACATGACATTCTCTGAGCAACTACTCCGTGTGAGGCACAGGGGCTCGTGATGGGGATGCAGAGACGCGAGAGATATAGCAGCCACCCTGGAAGACTATCTCAGAGTGGGGACAAGAAGCAGTAATTCCAGCTGTGACGGGGTAAGCACAGGCCAGACTGAGGGTTCAGAGAAGACTTCCCTGAGGAGCAGCAAACTCCCAGGTTGAGTCTCATTAAAGAGCGAGTCATAAAACATAAAAAAGGCAGGAGGACCGCTTCTGAAAGAATCAGGATATTTGTTTGGAGGAGCTGGGATCAAAATATCTTCCTATAAAGGCAACATTCTGATTTTTCCCAAAGGAATGGACTGGGTGGTGGGACTAGATAGTAGCACTCCAGATGCACAGAAAATTCATTCATTACATAAAATGTATGCCTTAAGGCGCTGGGACTTAATCCTGGGAAGGAACCCACGGCTGACAGGGCTGACTTAGGATGTAGCCAAAAACCAAGTTCTTCCTGCTCCAGGAGTCTTCAGGAGCAGGCAGCAACCCAACCACCTACAAAGGAAGCTGGGTCCTCTGTTTTGTGTGTCCAGGAGGCAGGGGAGTTGTTCACTCATAGCACGGGTACCTCAGAGTCCTCCTTCAAGTCCCCTGGCTCCCTAAAATCCCCTACTCTCCCCCCACTCCGCAACCCACGGCCCCCTCTCCATCGCATAACGCACCGGTGGGGAGCCCCAAGGTGAAGTACTTGTCTGGTCCGGGGTTAAACTGGATGATGCGGTTCCTGATGTACTTGGCGGCCCACTCACTGGCCTGAGAATAGTGGTCCAGGATGATGAGCTTCATCTTGTTCTGCGGGGGGCAGGTGAGAAAAGGACTCACTACTAAGGGGCAGGGAGAAAGAGATGCAGGTGTTTGGCTTAGAGGAGAAGCCCCTCTCACGCAGCAACACCTGGTCCCCAGGCGGCTGAGCCGGGAAGAGGAAGCACTAACTTTCAGTTCACAGGAACTGACAGCTGGGCCCGGTGCCGCCTTTACCCACCAGGAGGCGCCGCTGTGGCAGAGACCTGGGTTCTAGTCTCAATTACTTCCTTTACCAGGACCTCGGTCTAAGGACCCAGAGTCTCTGAGCCTGTTTTCTCTTACGTGAAAATGGGAACATAAGTACCTACCGGACCAATTTCACGATGGTGAATACTAACGAAGGGAATGCGTGTAACCACAGTACTCTATGTTGGCTAGGATCTTGTAGCTCGACCCATCCCCCACCCCCCTCCACCCCCACCCGCTGGCTCTTCTCTGCCCACAGGCTCCCCAGTAACTGCAGGGGCCAGCGGTTCATCGTGGGTCACCAGGGCAGGTGGGGCCGTGCGCTTTGCTGGGGAGACGGGTTCTCTCCCACCCGCCGGCCTTGCCTGTGGATCTGCAGTTTCCGCCCAAGCGCACAGGGGAAAGGTAACCGTTCTAGGAGGGCACTTGCTGCCCCGCACTGCGCTCAGAGTGGGAGGCCCGAGGCGGAAGTGACCGCCTCGGCCCTGGTGGGGTACAGGAGTGTCCCCCCCACCCCGACGGCGACCCCATTGCCCTCCAGCCCCGCCTAGGA